GTTTTACGGGGTTTTTTATGGGGTAAAAATTGGGTTTTCTAATTATTTTTGACCCTCTAAACACAAAATTTCCCAATTTCTCTCCAGACCTTTTTAATAGCTTAAAAAACAAATAATTTAGTATATCAAAGTGTTTTTGTACAATTATTGGTTACGGAGAAAATTTAAAAAAAATGTTATTTTATTCTCATGTTATTCTTATGGAGAATATTGTAAAATGTTTTAGTTTGCTTGTTTATGGATATATTTTGATCAAACTTGGTAAATGTAATTATTTTATACTAAGTTATTAAAATTTTACAAAAAAAAACACTTTTTACCCTCCCTGTAGCAGCAAGCCTAGGTACTCATAAAACCTAACGTTAATCAAAATATACATTTGAAAATCAATTCAGGCAAATGGAAATTCGCTTAGTCGGCAGGTTTGCTGCGGCGGGGGTATTTGATCACTCTATAAGTGAGCTGTATCTACTTTATTATTTTATCTCGAACTGTCGTTTGCGTCAGAGCTGGAAATCCACATTATTCGTCACTGATTTGGGTGACTCAAGGGCGTTTCAGTGAGTCACCCCCCCCCCTCCCCCCACAACTACCGGGGACCCTGATCTTATCTGATGGCGTGTTTGTTATCGACGCTAATTTCAATGTTGTGCTGTCGTATCGTTGTTTTCCATTCATGATGTAATATACCTTGTCTCAAACAACCGAGGGTTCGCAGTTTCGCCCAGTTATGTCTTAATACGAGGTTTTTATAAACAAATTTAACATTTTAGCGAATTTCCCATATAGGGAATAAGCTATTACCGTAGTACTCATGGTAAGACCTGGACCCGGGACCAATTTACTTTTTCGTTTTGAGGTTCCTAGAGGCCAAAAACACAATCCGGTCATATTCATAAATATATATTTATATATGTGTCCGTAGTGCAACAACTCGAGCAAAAATCATCCGATTTTGATGAAATTTGGTACAAACGTGTAAACCTACGTTTATTCGAACGAGTTCGCGAACCAGCATGTTCGGACTATGGGAACAAGGGTTTATGGGGGGTTTTATGGGGTAAAAATTGGTTTATCCCATTTTTGACCCTAGAAACTTAAAATTTAGCATTTTCTTTCCAAACCATATTGTAGAGCTTAAAAAAACAAATAATTTAGTATATTGAAGCGTTATTATGCGCCTAATGGTTACAGAGACAATTCCAAAAAACTTTAAATTTAAAATTCCCATATTATTCTTATGGAGAATAAGTAATCTGTTGTAGTTTGCTTGTTTATGAACATATTTTGATCAAATTTGGAAAATGCATTCATTTCATACTAAACAATTAACATTTTACAAAAAACACCTTTTTACCCTCCCTGTTGCAGCAAACCTAAGTACTCGTTAAAGTAATGTTATTTAGAAAGGGAATAAATGTGATATTTTTTAAGGAGACATTTTAGCGTAAATCCAATCAGGCAAATGGAAATTCGCTTAGTCTGCAGGTTTGCTGCGGCGGGTGTATTATTAACTTTTTCGTCATTTCTAATCTTAGATTTTATTTAATGTACGTGCTAAAACTTATTATAAATTATATTGCATTATCCCAAGAGGGTCGTGAGCGGTCTTTTGGTTATAGTGTGCTGTTTCTATCTTGAGTTCCGGGTTCAAAACCTGCCAAAAAGTCTTAGCCCATTTTAGCCGTGATATTGTCGTGACCCTATGGTTCGGAACCGACATCAATCTGTAGGCTCGCCCGTAGAGGAAACAATACTTCCAATGTGTTTAGTAACGCTGTCCACTTAAGGCTATACGATTATCATTATTGTTGAAGTGTTTCGACTAGTGGAGTGTGAAAACAGTTAAAATGAACAATTATTGCAAACCCTGTGTTTAGTAATGACGAGAGCTCTTCCCAAGCACGGGCTTCCAGTCATTTCGAGGAAACAATCATTTGACAGTTTCATGTTTTGTAATTATCGTATGTACTTTTTGTAGAAAACTTGATGGAGCGATGTAATAGATAAAGACAGTTGATTGGCGACAACAAAAGTTGTGCAATCTATATTATAAATATCTGCGTTTCTTTTTACTTTCTCCCCTTATGCATATTTGCGGAGATAGTATTGTTTTCGTACACCTCTGGTCCGATTTTAATGGTACTTGGTATGTACTAAATCATTGTTATCTCCAGTCATTTTTCATTTTCTTTGAAATTTGTTTTTTAATTGTGATTTTAGAAAAAATGTCTCAAACTATTGTAATTAAAACCTAGTATGTTATAGTCTTTTTAAACTGTATACAAAATTATACAATCTCTAGTCCTGTAAAAATTACTATTTAAAAGTTTGGTAATTTTGGTTACGCCATTGACTATACACGGAATAAACTTTCCATGTAGTGTAAAAAGTTGAAGCCAAGAAAATTGAAGTTCAGGACCATCTCACCAGAGGGCACTAGTGTATTGGGTTAAATATTAATTTAAATCAATTCAGTAGCATATTAAACAGCTGATTGATTTATCACTTGACACAGAATATTGTCATTAGTTGCTAGACCATCTCAAAAGATTGCATCACGGTTTTTGGCTTCAAATTTTTATTTTTACATTACATGGGGAGTCTAATCAGTGTATAGTCAATGGTTACACCCACCGCTTACCCAATAAAAACGTTTTTGACTAGCTAATATGGGGAAGTCGGATGTGTGTAATTTTGTTGATACCGTTTATTCAGTTTGAAGATTTTAGTTATAATGTTTTACACTACAACACGACTACTACGATAAGCTAGACCGCTATCAGGATGTTTTCAATCAGGCTCTCCAAGGCCGATTTCTACAAGACTTGTAACTCTGCCCACCTACGATCAACTTGACAAACTGTTCGCTATTATTTTGGAGTCGCTTCGGACATTGAGCGATGGACGTAATTATAGAGTACAAATCATTTACACAAACCGTGAGTAATATCGCAGATGTGACCAGATATGTAATAAACTGTTCTGCTGTGGCTTCGATTCGTCCGTGTTTTATTCATTTTCGTGTCCATATCTGACGTACATAATTGTATTTTAGAGACATACAGAAATGGCTATCTTTCCGGGTCAGCTTTAGAGAACACAATTGAAGATACCCTCACAATGTGCTAAAAGGCAAAAAGCCAAAATTATATTATCCCTTGTTTTCAATATGGTAATAGTTCAGACAAAATATGCTAAGGTTTATATTAACTTGTCCTTTAAGTTTATCTTGGCTAAAATATTGGTGTGTGCAACAGATCAGTTACTTAAAGCAGCACATTCGGGGCTCCTCCCGTTTAAATTTTACCAAAAATTAAAACCACCTTATGTTAAAAATTGCGTAATTCTTTGATGCGTTAACTTACGATGCGGCATTTAGAATTACTTTTTGTGAAAGCACTTGAGTTAGAGAAAGCGCTGTATCTGAGCGTCGGTGATACAGTATTTGTTATGACGGACAATGGAGAAAGTCTGAGCAAAGGTCAAACTCGGTACGACTACAGTTGCTGAGACTAGACTGAACAGAAATCGTGTAATCGTTTCTGGCGATTGTAAAATTAAATTCAACGACACGGTTCTCAGTATTTTCTTGAAGGTTCATGGAAACTGTATGTACCTACTTACTAACCTACAGTATTTATAGAACTTGCTGTGGCGGCCATTTATTTTATTATAAAGTGTAACCAGGACATTGGTACCTTCGTAATTTGATCACTTTCCCTCAAATAATAAAGGATTGAATAAATAAATAAATCACTCAGATATTATTGGTATGTATTCAGAAGTGGCTAGTTGCTAGTCTAGTTGTTGAAATCTCGGACTTAGTTGCAAGAGGGGTTCGATCCACGACAAATTCAAAGGTGTAAAGATTGTTTTCTCTAAAAATAGTTTGGTATTTTTTTTTTAATTCTAAATGCGGTTTTTTTTTATTGGTATAGTTATTGTAATAGGGTTGTGTTGCTAGCCTAGTAATTAGTCTCTCGGACGTAAGTGCGGGAGAGACAAGTTTGATTAACCACATGCCGACAAAATTGTCTGGTTTGCCAGTTTTTTTTTTTTTTACTTATGGGACTGTAATGTGATTTTAAATACAGTATTTAAAATAGTATATTACGTTACTAGTCCCGAAAATAAGTGTTTACCGGACGAGTGATTACCATACGAGTCCGGTAAACACATTTTGGACGAGTTACGTACGATAGTTTACGCCATACTACTAAATCCGTACAAATCCTTTTATATTTCCACCAACTAAAGGACTAAAAACCACTAGTCATAACCTCTAAGAGAGATTATGTTTTCTGTTTATAACCATTCATTGCCACCTAAATACAATATAATCAGCTGATTGGTGTCCGGTACAACTCATTGCAGTACAGTAGTACGCAATGAAACCCCATTTGAATAAGCTGGCGGCAAACAGCTGTTTTCTGGACTAAATCCTTGCGTGGGAAGTTCATCAAAATAATGTAGTGTGGCGTAATAGTATATTTATTTATTTTTTTCGAATTTTTTTCTTTTTGTTTTAGATTAGAGCAGCATTTTAAAATTGTATAACTCATTATTAGTTTAGTTAACAATAAATTATCAGAAAAATTTACCTTGTAATCCATTTATTGATTTTCCGAAAGTTCACTTTCAAACTTGCATGTTTCTTATTTTTCTCAAGCAGTAGGCCTAATAGAGATATCATATTGAAATTTGTATGGGGCTATATATTATTATGACCTATTTTTCAACATATTTTGAAATGTTTTTAATATTACCTAATAACTAAAATACAGTATATCAAAAAAGAGTTTTATTTAAAATTAAAGTAAAATTATTTAGTCATGTGATTTTGCAATATCCTTGTGTACCATGATACTAAAAAGCATCCCCTACAAGCAGAAAATAAAATAAAGACTCTATCCTACATGGTTTTTGAGAAAAATTACATTTGGTTAACATTAAGTTACATATTTGATTCCTGCATTGACGGTATGGTTATGTTTCAGGTGTCGACGCGACCGTGGGGTGGGCCAACTGGGGTTGGAGATCTCACCAAACTCTGCAATCACAAAAGGAAACAACTGGCGATGTCTTCCAACCTGGATAACAATCATCTGGACCTGAGGAACAATGGTAACATACAGTGTAGTTATATTTGGCCTGTGGTGGGGGCAGGCTATGCTGAACTAAGGGTTGGGTCTGTGTCTTAAGCCAAATTGTTTATCGGTGCAGCAGCCGGTTCTTTAAAGCTTAGAACACACTGGATCGGTCGGTACGGGACAAACCGACAATATATACCTCCGCAGTCTTCTCCTAGCATTTGTGAAGTGCTCCCAAGTATCTGAAAAGGCATGTCTGTATCGTCTGAACCGGAACACGTGTACATACTGCGAACAGCGGATGTCTCATCATGTCCTAGAAATCTCTTTCTGAACTTTCTTTTGGACAGCAGAGGGTGCGCATGGGTCTGTCCCAAAAGTTTCATTCTATTGGTTTATAACTTGTTATTTTCCATTGAAGCAATGCACCTGATGTTTTCACTATTCAGTCATCTTTAAAATAAGTTGTAGGTAAACCGAGTTCTTAAATTCTCGCTAAATGGAAATAAGCGTTAGGCCTACATGATTTTTGCGTCAGAGTGGTCGAGAAATAAAATTATCGTATTGAAATATTTCAAAACTTTTTTATAAATAAATATATACAGTCCTGCGTTAAATATATGTATTGTTAGATGAATTTAAATAGTAATAGGCTGGTAAAAAGAAGTTTTATTTTTTTTTTCTTATGGTCAACATATGGTTGTAGTTTGCTTATGGATTTCTTTAGATAAATGTTTGTTATTTCCCTTTTTAAGTTCTTCATATTAATTTAGAAAGAAACTTATACTTTTTTCAAGGGAACATAAACCTTGATTCAGTTTAACATAAACACCCTCTAAAATACACACTAAATTTTATAAAATATGGTTGTCAAATATGTACTGGACAATGTAAACATATTTATGTGCGATGTGAAACCACCCTATTCAATTCATTTTTATTGTAAGATTAGTTCCAACCGAGTGGCCAAGCACACAACAATCGTCAGACAGCCATGTTACCACCGTAATAATGTAATAACCCTCGTGATTACATGTAATTATCACTGTAATAACAGCACAGTGAAGGAAATCAACTTGCAATTCATTCTGCTCTAGGTCTGTTAACTTCCTCACCTGCCAGAATAGGTGTTTGCTCTACGTATAATCTTGGAATTATTCTGCCTTAAGTTCTGAGCTTTAAAGAACTTTTTAAAGAATTAAAAGTAGCTATAAATATTGTCTGTTTAAGTTGTTTGATTTTAACTTTGTGTAAGATGAAAATATATCCATATGAATGTTATCTGGGGTTGCTTTGAGACATAACACTGTTGAAGAGTGTTTTGAGAACGCTCTTCGTAGAATGTTGTTTAACAATTTTAACAACTAAAACTTTTTAACACTATTTTATACAATGATTGCCCAAGAAATACTAATGTGATGTATAATTTAACTGTTTTAATGTGCTTTAATGGAGACAGGGAATTATAGGAATGGTGTGAAGAGGTCATAGTTTCTCTTATGTTAGGTACTGCATCCTTAGTGTCTAGTTAAGAACAGTTACACTTGAGCTTTTGGTTGACCAGTATTGTTAAGTGGGTAGACTGTTATATAGTATTGTCTCTCCAAACAGAAGACAGTACTAATGCCATCTTAGTTGAAACAATATTTTTTGGACAGTGTTGGTTTTCCCTGCACCATTCATATATTTAGATGTGAACGCTGTATTTTGCTGGACGTGTAATAGATGCACTGCGTCGGTGTATTCAAGCCGCAGCACACTTTTCTTACAAAGTATTGTTACGCCATTTCCTAGACTGTGAACAAAAGGCCCATGTAACTAATAAGTGTGTACTATTTGCTGCGGCTTGGACTGTCTGCTCTTAGAGCAGTCAAGCTTGAGCTATGCTTCGACATTGAACACAAAGGAATTTTGCCACTTTTCCTCAATCCTTATTGCCTGTGTCCCCCAAAACCTTGTTTCACAATAATTTGAAATTTGTTCATAAAATGAGAAGAATCATTGGGGAACTTCTGATATTTTTTACAAAACAGACTAAGTATTTTCTTAAGTATTAATGATTTAAACTCGTCATTATTAAATTTATAATGTTAATTTATTCTTTTTTTAGATGGAGTCAAGAAAAAGAAGCGCAAAGTGACTAACTATACAGCTTCTGTATCCCAATTACTGGCACAGCGAGAGAGGGATCGCAATAAGGATCTGCAGGTACTTTTCAACAATGGAACATAGTAGTAGAGAGTCAATATAGATCAGTGGTGTAGTTGTAAATTTTCCTGAAAGGGAACGCTTACTACGAACTAAGAACTGATAACATAAAGGATAATGAAAATGACTTTTGGAAAAAGCAGAGTCGAAACGCCGGATCCCAGGCTTTTCCGCACCACTAAACAACTGATATAGATGTGTTATTTACATCTACAAACAAATCGCATCGTTAAAGCTGCTACATGGTATTAATTAATCAATTATCAATTATCAATTTTGGTAGATATAAATTGCAGGCTTTTTTATACTAGCTTTGATAATCTGTGTTTTTATGGCTATACTGAATTAAACTAAGGTGTGTGCTAGGGTCTTCAACACAGTTTAAAACCTAATTTCCTGAAATTTCTGCCTTTATGGGGATCCCTAAACCTCAAACCTAGTTCCAACACGTTTCAAACATTTTACATAAGTTTACACTAGATATATACTTGCTCTGTTAAAATATTTTTATTTCTTTCCATCACTACCAATACACATTACATTATTGCAATATATATAGGTATTGATTACTTAATTGGTTGGGATGAAATATAAATGATTGACTGCAATAAATGAATGTATTTAATCAAATTTCTATTGTTTCATGTAACACTATGCATAGTTAATTAATACACCCAGTTTACAAAACGTCTAGGCCTATGTAGTGCATAGCTTGCTCATGGTAACTCAAAATATTTCATTACAGTATTACGAATGAATATTGATTTATGTACTCAACCTCATGTTATGTTACCAAGTAAGTGTTAGAATAGAAGTAAACCATTGTGTGTATAATTAACACTAATAAAGGTTTCAATTGTAACACAACCACTTGGTATAGTTGAACCTTATTAGGTTCTAACATTTGTAGTTTACAAATCTTATCACAATTAGTAGACAATCTAATTTTTTAGGTGGAAATATAGGCTACAAGATAAATTGGAAACATCAAAAACGTTTTAATTTGTTGTCAAATAATAATGCAGATTGATTTTATATTTTCTCTGGAATAGTAATTTAGTGAAATTCTAGTATAACTTATATTATTGATGGATGCAATGTTTCAGGGCTGGACAGATGGGACTTGTCAAGGTGGTCGGGACAGTTCTCCTATAGCGTTGCACATGCAACAGCAGACTTCTACACGGGTATATCCACCCAGTTACACCCCAGAGAACCACAGCCAGCAACAGTTTTACAGGTACAATCCTCATAGTGGGGGTTGTCCCATGCCCTCTCAACAAGCTGAGATGATGGGAGGTGGTGGAGAGAACAACTATCCTACCCAGAGTAGTGCATACCCTCACCAAGGTATCGGTGCCCCACCATACCATCAGTACCAGTTCCAACAGAGGGAAGATCACCACTGTCAACAGAAACCTCACAACCATCAACAACACCAACAGCAGATGATGCACCAGCAGCAACAACAACAGCACTTCCAACAACAACAACAGCAGCAGCATCAGCATTTCCAACAGGCACAGCCTTCACATATGATGCAGTCAAACTCTCCGAGGCCACAAATTCAGCAGAATATGCAGCATCAGCAAGTGATGGGTCAGCAGGTACAAGGACCTCACCAGAATTATGAGAGGGTGATGGGACCATCCCCGCAGTTTCAACAGTATCATCAACAGGATCATAAAATGCACATGCTGCCACAACATCAACATTGTGCCGGCAAACAAATGCCCAGAGAAAGTTACCAAAGAACTGATATACCACCACAGGTTCAGCAGGGTGTTGTGTTGCAAACCTCTCAAGGTCAGATGATGCTTCCGCAGCAGGCTATGGTGTTACAACAACAGCAAAATGCAGGAATGCAGCCTTCTCAAAACCAGCCGATGATGCAAGTTTCTCATAGTCCTAATCTATCGATGGTTCAAAGTCCTAACCCATCGATGGTGCAGAGTCCTAATCCGGGTATGGTTCAGAGCCCTAATCCATCGATGGTTCAGAACCCCAATCCTTCTTTGGTGCAAAGTCCGAATCCCACATTGCAGCAGACTCATCAACAGAATCAAGTTATGATGCAGAAGCCTCTACATCCTAATCAAAGCCAACAGGGAGTGCAGGTACAGTTGTTGAATCAGCAAATGGCATTGCAGAACAATCAACAGCAAAATTTGAATCAAGTCCAAAGTAATTCAAACTCGAGCATGTGCGCATCACCTGCAATGCTTATGCACCATCAGAGACCTGCACCTCCATGGCAAACCAATCGTAATAACCAGATTGCAAATCAAAATGCTGTGATAAATCAACAACCCCACAATCAACAACAATCCCATAATCAACAACAATCCCATAGTCAGGCTCATAACCAACAACAACCACAATCACAGTCTCAACAACAGCAGATAATGCAACACAATATGTATGAAAGAGTTCCTCCTCTGCATCATCATTTGCCTAATGCTCCTGTTTGGAATGATGAGAGGAAAAAGGCTGTTTCCAAACTGCAAGGTAAACCAGTAGCACATATAAAGAATAAAAGATCCTATTTGAGTGATCATCACCATACTGTGGGTACAAACAATGAACAGCCTTGCCCAAATGTTGATGTCAGACGCATTCCTCAAGAGCAGAACAAACTACCAAATAATCAGTCCCAGACCTTCACCAATACCAACATTCCATCATTTATGGAAGACCCAAGTGGTTATCTGGCTCAACAAACAGCTCTGTTAAACAGTACGATATCACGGCAAACCGGTATGAACAGTAATGGTATTAATCTAATTTGTCAAAATAATTGTAGTTCACAAATGAATGATCAACATTTTGGACAAGGGCAAGTTGTTATCAACCTTCCGACTAGTTCTGGATCCACAGCTAACAATCATGGTGTGCCATTACCGAGCACTGTCATGGTTCCTAACCAACAAAAACAGAATGTTATTTCTAGAATGAATCAGGCAACATCCACTGGAGTTAACCCCAGTAATAGCAGTATCAAAGTGTACAGGAGTAACGCAGTATCATCTACAGGAACCTCTGGGTATCAAAACCAAGCCCAGACAAATCAAACTGGGCTGCCGGATAGTAGCGGGGTTTCTCCTGATCGTGGTAGATGCTCTCAAGGCTGTGGCTCAAATATGATTGATAATTTCCATTCTCAAAATCAAAACCAACAACTTTCAAATACCGTTACAGTCAAGTTCCATCCTGAAGAAAGTCCTGTTACTTCTTCAACGTTCATGGAAAATCGACATCAGGGACAATCTACACCAGACAATAGAGGACCCATTCAAGGAGGCACAGTTAGTACAAGTAATAGATCTCCTCCTGATAATGTGTCTAGGATCCCACCTGATGATCCCTCTCCTGGAAGAACATCTACCCCTTCATCTACTCAAAGTCGGAGGTTGGATGCATCTCCAGAACCATCCTTATTTATTTCCACATCATCACCTTTCACGTTAGCTAGTGGCAACACAATTATTTATCAACAACAAGCACCTTCCAATTCACAAAACTCAAGAAGTGAAGTATCAACCCCTGCAGCTCAGTCTCCAAAGCCCCAACAGCAACTACAACAGCAGCAGCAGCAACAACAACAAAAACAACAGAATCATCAACAGCATCAACAGCAACTGCCACAACAGCAGCAGCAGCAACAACAACAACAACAACAACACATTAATGTGATGCTTCAAGATGTGCAAATGGCAAGGTTACCTACAATTGTAACAACAATGGCTAGTGGACACACTGTCAGTAGTAACACCATAACTTCAGTTTTGGCTGGAAGAGCAAACACAGCAACTGTAACAGTGAATAACCAAACCACTGTAATTCCACCTTCAACAGTTGTTACAAACCAGCAGGCGCCTCAAGTATCTGTTTCCAAAACTCCATTAGAAATGGTTCAGAGTGTTGTTAGCAGCATTCAGGTGCCTGCTAGTTCAGCAGAATCAGTTCTGAAACCTGCCACAGCCCCTAGCCTTCCAACAGGACATATTTTAATGTCAAGTAACGGTCAACTTATAGTTACAAATTCTCAAGGGCAACCTGCCATCCTCTCACCCCAACAAAACATTGGTAAGATCAGCACATCGATGCCACCTATGACAGGAGTTTCATCAATAGTTACAAGTGTGACTGGTGCTGTTACCCAAGTCATTCCTGCCGTCGGTGTTACTCAGCAAGTTCTGGGTCAACCTACTGTCCTGGTAAATACACTTCCTACACCTTTACTATTCCAACCCGGTGTCATCAATGTTGATGGGACTATGAACACAGTTCAGATTCCTCACCTCGCAGTCGCCACAGGAAATGTTATACCGGGACAGATGGTTGATGAATCTAGAGTAAACAACAGCAATGGCGCTTTCTCTCCTCGAAATCAACCACCGTTGCTATCCCCGGAGGGTTCAAATGGTAAAAGAAAAGCAAACCCTAAGAAAAGAAAAGTTTCACCCCAGACGGTTGCATCCATGCTTCACATTGCTGCTGCCCAACAAAACTCTCCAACTACTGGTGCGACTGGAATGGTTGTTCAACAACAACAGCCGCAGCAGAACTTTAGTCCCCCGATGCTTCAAGCTTTAACGATTTTGCCTAGCAAAACCAATCATTTTGGTGGAACACAGCAGTTGATTGCAACAGGAAATATTCTGCAACCGTTAAATTTGGTTCAAAATTTCCCAACCATACAGCAGTTTATCGTCCCAGCCGCAGGGCTCGGAGGAATGGTAATGGCCACCGGGGATGGAACAGCGACTTTGCTGCAAGATACAGTCCAGCTCAATGTCCTAACTCCGATGCAAGGACCTGGAGGAACAGTATTTGGTCACACAAGCGGTCAGAGTATTCTGGCTGCTGGACCGGCAGGGATGGTAATACGAGCACCCGCTAACTCTAACCAACAAACAAACAAAGTTCAACTCCATACCCAGAATACTGGTGGTAACCAATTCATCGCTAATTCGCCGAATCAATTTTTAATCAACAGCCCTGCTTTCAATGGACAATTAAGTCCTATGTTGGCCAATGTGAGTCCGGCTAACCAACAGATACACTCTTTCAACAGCAGTGGAGGGAATTCACAAGCCAGGTCGAATCAAACTCAGGAGTTTATTCAATGTGGCCAAACCCTCATGGTTCCTTGTACGATAGCTCAGAATCCAACCTCTCAAAATACCACCGTTGTTCAACAAAATACAACCATCGTCCAACAGCAAACCACTATGGTCTCAAACAATCAACAAAATATAGATCAAAATCCGGGTCCCTCTACGTCTTCGTCGTCTAGTTTAAGCTTAAACCAACACAATTTCATTCTGAACAACGCTGATGGAAAGCAGCAAAACTTTATCCTCACTACAGACCAAAAAGGACAGGGAGGGTTCATCCTAAGTCCCAACCCTGACAAGCCGGGAACTCACATTATTTTAAACGCCGATAAAACCCAGTACGGTGGACTCATTATCAGTCAAGAAAAGCCTAACCAAATGTGTGGTAACTTTATATTTAGCAATTCCAACGTGCAACAAACAGATAAAACATCTAACAACTTTATATTATCTAGTGGAAATCTCTCGGAAAAACAAAATACTAATAGGTTCGCTAAACACTCTGTGTCAACTCAAACAGCAGCAAACCAACAAGTATTGCAAGTTTCGTCCACACCTGTCCCGACAGCTCTAGTGGTCGCCACAAGTAACACCTTCTGTCAGACGTCCACAGGCAGTCCTCCAGACACGACTACTCACAGTCCCGTTGACGGAGGAACTTCCTCACAGAGCCCAGGACTGACTGCTGAAGTTCCGTCGAGCTCTGTCGCTGATGATCTCTCCAGTCCTACCAGCTCTAGTGATCCTGGCAGAGCTCAACCCATGGTTCATTGTGTCTCCAGTAGCAATGAACAAGACACTCCAGAAAACTCGTCCACTAGTCCTGCACTTTTCTCTCCTCCCCACAACATCGAGATCACCTATAACAGAGGTAAATTTTGCAATTAATTGTCATACATTTGTCTCTGTAGAGTTTGCATATATTTCACTATTGCAGTTCCTTATCTTCTGTAAACAGTTTTATTGCAGGCTTTAACGGGTTGCTGAACCAGAAAGTATTATTTCTAGAGCTTATATTTGTTGACCTTACTTTGTTCACTGCAAGACATAGTTTAAATACTTTCAATTGTAGAAAAAGGAGGATAGCTAAAAAAGCTAAAAAGGAGGATCCTTGAACAAAACTAACCTTAGTAGTACTCTAGTCTTTCTGTAAGTCAATTCTGTTTACTATGTCCATCAAGACATTGAAGCTTTCTAAATTATCGTAGAATATATTAATTTTTCATAAGTAAAACTTGCACAACAAATCTTTACCAACGCTGTAGTAGAAAAAAATACTCCCTCAGTTAATATATGCTATTTAAGTGCCATTCAGTTCTTGACGTTATTTTATAATTTCAGGTATTGGAAACATGAAAAACATTACTATGACATCATTTGTCGAGTCATCCAGCTCGTCTATGCAGACATATGAAAGTGAAAGACTTGTCAAACGGAGTAATGATGTAAGTGTTTAGTTAATATACTAAAATAATACAACCAAGTAATATAAAACAACTGGAAGAAAAACAATGTGCACACACACATCTCCCTAAACCTAGGGTGGCAAAGCAGTTATATTCTTGTTTGATCATTGTTTGTGAATAGCTTATGGGAAATATGTGTGTTAAAGCAGATTGTTGAGGTTTGAACAAACTTCCTGATGTTTGACAAACATTTGTTTGTCATCTCCCAGTGTGGCCGCACCAGCAAACGTATTCCGAGGGTTGGCTCCGCTATATTTGTTTGGAGATAATGTTTGCTCTCAAAGCTAAAACTCTATAAATGTTTGCTGTCAGTTTGGGCCATTCGTTAATATTTAATTTTGGAAAATAAGACAAACAATAAAATGTTTGTCTAAACATCAATGCTTTATTTAGAAAAAAATATTTGTTACAAGCTATTTACTTGTTTGTTGTAAAATTGTGCCAACAAACTTGTTTGTCAATCTGTTTGCCGGAAGTTTGTTCAGTGTGGATCTGCCCTAACCTCTAAAGACATTTATGTATTTCAACACATATGTTCCTTACAAGATAGGAACTTTAGATCGATTAAATATTGGTTCCTGATCATCTCAATAGGTTTTGTCACAATATCATTGAGTGACACTATAAAAAAATTCTAATGATGACTGTTAAAAGTATTAATATGATTTGAATGTGCTTTTATTAGGGAAAGATACTCCGCAAGTCATTCGAACAAGAAAAGATATATTTGTTTTGTTTGCCACATCTACTGTTTTTTAACTAACCAGAAAAATGTTCAATCTTTTATGTAATGGCTATATGTAAAGATTTTCATATTTTTTTAGGATGGTCGATAATGTTTTTATGTTGTTTTGTGTGCAGGGAGAGATGGTCAGATATGACTACAGTTCCCTAGCCAGAAGTCGCAAAGCTGCCAAGCAAGTATGTGACAGCAAAGTCCGCATCCATACATCCACACTGTCCTCCTCACATGAAGAAGACGATGGTAAGTTTGTTTATCAGTTACCACTTTAATACTTATTCTTTTCTTCCGTTTCTATAACAACTAATTGGCTTGATTCTCTCTCCGAGCTACTTAACAGTTAATTTTGCAACATACCAGGTAGAGTCAAAAGGAAAGTCCTAAAATTTATTTTTAGAGCAATTCAGCTGCCTAATACAGACATGGTTGGGGCTGCTGGGCTATTGGTTATAACTCGGGATCTCTTGGGTGCCTGGTTCAAGTCCAGTATAACACCAACGATTTAATCTATGTGGTGATACTGTAGCTGGGAAATGGAGCCATGGCCACCTGTGGCCTTATCCAGGGCCAAACCCTTTTACACTTCATTAGGCTTCAGTTTGCACTCCAACTCGCACTCTCCCCGAAAATCCCTCATTCCCCAAAAATACTTATAGCCCTTGGGTAAGAGAGGGTATTTCATTTTTTTTTTACACAATTTGGAACATTAATGAGTAGTACTTGTAAGACCAACTGGAGGGTGACAAAGTTAGCTGGTCACATATCGATGATTTATCAGAAGAACCAACCCCTAACCCTAAAGGGTCCAAAATATAAGTGTAGCCACCTTTCTACCAAAGGTTTAATGTGGCTCAAACAAACAACAATTCCAGTAATAATAAATTCTACGGGACTCAGATCCACTGGCACTCGTATGCACATACAGTACAGTACATACAGTAGTATTTTGAAGTTATAAAGAATAATTTTGTTTCCAAAACTGCCTAGGAAGTTATGTTCTTTAATGATGTCCTATAACAAATAGTTAACGATAGTATATTTTTTTTATATAGGCCCAAGACATAAAAAAATCGGGAAAAAATCAATCGCTAAATTAGAACTTGAGAAACTATTACTTTCTTTGATTCTAGCTGTTATCGAAAATAGCTACTCTCTGTATAGAGTGATGAAAAATAAATTCTGGAAATATTTTATGTGATTCTACTTTGTTTTCCATTCCAAAAGATTGTAAAGAGAACAAGTTCTCTCTGTACTAATTTTTGTCTTCCGAAAACTGGTTCAAACATAAATTTGTTCGTTGTATCCACAGTTTTGTTTTTAAACAAAGGGTTATTATCATAGTAATAAGCTCTGAAGACAAACCCAGTCATGTCTATAATTTTAAATTGTTTCAGAAGCTGTGTAACATGTTAACTTAAGTTTCTTAACATATTAACACCCTCAAAAGTTTAAGACTATTTATTATTGTTTGAGTGCTAACATTTTAGAGTTTATTTGTCATCCAAAACTCCCTATTCATATTTTGTACATTAGAGCAAACAAAGTTTTGTTGTAGAATCGTTTTACATTATAAGCTGATGGTGATGGCATAGAAAGTTAAGTTAACCTGTTTTTCATTAACCTCGATGAAAAAAACTCGGTCTCCAACTTAAATCTGTCTATAACTTCAGTGTGTACAGATCTCTAACACTATCACATACTGCACATTATTTTGTACATTTTCCTTTATACATTTCTAGTTGTGAACGAAAGGTCTCTCTCTCTCATGGGCATAGTTATTTGTCCATAATCACCACATTGCCACTCTCCTTACTGTATTATAATCCCATCATATAACTATAAAACGTAAGCATAAAGTAATTAAGTGTTAAAATAAAATATTAAAATATTATTATAGACCGATCATTAGATAGTGCACATAAAATTTCTCATATTTGTGACACCAGTTTTGCTTGGCTGATGTTTGTGTTGATAATCACCGTGGATTAACATTTGAGACAAATTAACACCAATCCACCTGTTCCTTTTAAAACAGTGGATAAATATAATGGATTTGAAAAAGAGGGAATCTACATTGGTGACTGAAGAAGATGTCACTTAAGTGTTTGAAGCATTGGCTTTTAGGTCGCCCTGTCTTTGTGGCTAGAACAATCGTGGTAGCCTACATTTTATAGCATGATATTCTTTATTGTATGTAATTGTAGCCTAACACATCAAATTTATAACCATCCTCTTATACTAAATTGTACAAAATATGGTAAAAGGGGATTGATATTTATTGGAAAGTCCAATTTTCATTAGACCCTAAAGGAGAATGATAACGGTTGTTGTCGTTCCAATGGTGACAGAAGATACGATAGAAAATTAAAGAAAATTATTGAATTGAAATTCCCCTTTAATTAAAGTTTACGTTATTTATTTCATTTGGATATTTATGATTTAATTGTGGATATAACAATTAGACTTCAAGTAAGATTATGAATTTTTTTATTATTTCACAATACTGATTATTACGACAGCAATTTTTAGATTCTGATCAAAAGAATTAGACAGATAGGAAGGATAGAAATTTGTTGAAGTAAATCTAACAAACCGGACTTACGGCTATCTTGGTATGAACTGTCTGCTGTCAGGTGATTTAACAGAGGAGGAAGCCCTCAATGAAATAGTTTTAAATTGAGAAAACATATAATTTTTAATTTCAAGTACTCCAAACAAAATGTTGTTCAGTATTATACAATAGTGTGATAAAACAGCCCGACGTAATTGTGTTCAATGTACATATGTGTATGATATTTAGAAACAGCTGATTTGTATAGGTCGAGTGAAACTGACAAGTCAAATTAAATAGAAAGTTTGAGGGCAAGTAGATTAGTTATCTCTATAAGGACAACTTTGCTCTTGCCATCCCCACTAGCTGTTTTGTAGAGTGGGGGAATACAACTTTCCACCTTGGCTAGAACATTTGCTTAAGTGTAACAGACATTCTAAAACTAGACGAGAAGAACTTGAGATTGTACGTGGTGTCTTACTATCACTTTTACTCGACCTACTTGAACCAGGCTTAACCCTCCTGATGTCAGTCATTTTGTGTGTGGTGTCAGTCGATTTTGGGGCATTTTGCAGCAATGTTTATTAAATATAATAACAAATCTAATTTGCAAAAGAAATACTTTTTACACATTTCTATGCAGCTAAATACACGCACATCATAATTCAGAATAAGTACTGAGTTTTAATGCCCATTTTATGTTTGAAAAGTACTTTGAATGATAAAAATTACAAGAAAGAAAAGTTTTGAAAAAATTATCTTTTTACCAAATGAAACATCTGAAATCATTTATTTATAATATAGCAAAAAATATGAATTTTAGTATGACTAACTTAATTTTTAGGATAGCCATAAGACGTAAATATGATAGAAAGACACTGGCAAAATCACTCACTAGGCCTATTAAAATGACTTGACTGCCTTACAGATAAGCTTCAAGACATTACTGCAAACAAACAAATAACTCATATTGATTATTTTATACATCAAAATAAAATGCGTAGTCTAAACAGATATAAATCAATAATTTTCAATCAAGATAATGTAGTAACAAACTACTTGCAAAGAACAACACACACACGGCAACCTAAACATTGATTGTTTTCTCAAAACATCCAAGAGACAGACAAACAAGAAGGGATATAAAGACAGCCCCTAGGAGAAAGCCAAATGTCTGCTGTTTACAGTAATATAAATCCAGTCCAAATTGGACTGAAAAAGGCTGAGTTAATAGACGATATGCAAACGTTTGCACTACTGCCGATGCATTGACGCTTGCCAATTTAGAGTGTCTTTACCGTTCATGCATTGACGCTTGCCACTTTAGAGTGTCTTTACCGTTCATGCATCGACGTTTGACACTGGGAGGATTAAGGATGCTTCTCTCATCTTAAGTTTGATGGTTTTCAAGAGCACTTGTGATTCGCTTGCTGGATTTTAAATTTAATATCATCATCGTCGTCATCACCATCGTCATCATCATCATCATAACCTGGGCATGTATGTGGTGCTTGGTCTCAGTCCCTCCCCCCCCCCCCCACACACACACCCTCATCTTCTGCTTTATTCACTAATTGTGGTTTGGTTCGTCTGCTTGTCCATTGCATTTTAACCTCACCCCTATCTTTTACTCTGCTCTTAACACTGGTTTTTCTAATACTGATGTATATAAAAAGTGCAACTAAAACATTCTAAATTGTTTTGCAGTCAATTGATATCCTATTTGGAATTAGTCAGATATTAATTTTGTGTATTTTGCTATTTTGAGAGTGATAATCAATATAATATTTCTAGCAAAAACATTTTTAACTTTTGGAACTATAACAAGAAAATATTGGTGAATAAAATTAATTGTAATATTTTGAATTACCTAGAATGTTTTACCGATTTGGACATAACTTTGTTAAATTAGTAAGACACCAACCTAGTGTACATAATTATCCTTTAATTAACAAATTTACGTTTCAAATCCAAAATTCAATAAACCATGTAATAAATACTGTACTTGATCAATCTAAACACAAATAAGTTTAGAACCTTATAATTATTAATAATTTTTAATCATCTAAAACATAAATTTAATATCAGTTAATTTTTTTAAACAATCTCCTAAATCAAAAACACTAAACTGTCCTGTTATTCTAATAACTAAAAAAAAAAAAATTCTTCTTCATAAAATAAATTAAATAATTTATTACTCAAAGATGTTTGTTTATTTTCTTGGGTGCAGCAAAATTCTAAACATTTAATAACAACATCCAAATAGTTTAGCTAAACTTAAAAATGAAAGAAAATATTAAACATTTTTAGCAAGATGAATGCAGTATATAGCAAGTGTTGAAGCAGAAGTGGGGGTGTGTTGTGTAGAGGAGGAGTCGGAGGGCGCCGGGGGGTGTCCAGGCGCCGGGGACCTGGTGTGGGGTGCGGCACGGGGCTTCCCCTCGTGGCCCGGCAAGCTGGTTGGACCCGCCCCTACACCGGGTCGTGTCTGGGTCCGATGGTTCGGCGGACCCGGAACACTCAGCGAGGTCCATCCCACCTCTCTGAAAACTCTCACCGAGGGACTCGAGGCCCACCACAGGGAGAGAAAAAAGTATCGCAAGTGAGTGCTGAAAATGTACTCGGATGCCTTCACACGTTAACTTCAATCACTTCTTTATAAAATTCTATTAACAGACGTAAAGAAACTTATTTACCTTGGTTGCTCAGGGAGTGCGGCTGGAGCTCGGCCCTACCTGGGAGGGTGATTCACTTTGTACTTGAGTCTTCTTTGACTTATAGTTGTTAAAGTCGTCTTCCCTTTTACTAAGATTTTGTCTTGATAAGTAGTTGACGAATCAATCAAAAAGTGTGCTGTATTAATTGAAACATTCGTTAAAATGTGTTAAAAATAATCAATTAATATAAATCAACCATTTATAGTTACAGACCTCGAATAGCGTACCCTACAACAACCAATCTAAGGATACTGTGATATCTTCCTATGGGGTTCATGAAGACTGCTTCTAGCTAAACTCCCTGAATCAATACATAGGACTGATAAGCTGTTTTGGCAGTTATTCAAAAGACACTTAAAGATTTTGAAGAATTCACTTATCGGCTTTATTTTGTTCTCTATGAATCCTCACTTTGAAGACTCTTAGGCCTATTGACCAAACTGTTCAAGTTGCTCTTTAATTTGATCTATTATTTGCAAGTCTAAGTTTAGTGTAAAGCCAATTTCATCATTTTAAAACCCTGTAAAATGATTCTGTCGTATTCGTATTTGTGTTGATTTTTAATAGTTAATGCTTTACTTTTCAGAAGTCGTAAACTGAACAGTCAGTTGGAGAACGCAATACAGGAAGCAATGGCTGAGCTCGACAGAATGAGCGAGACTCCTCAGCAAGGGGCTCCCCAGCCTCCCTCCCCCCTCCAGGTGTCTGCTAGGAAACGCTAAAAATCACCAAAGTACCATATAGCACTATATGTAAGGAAACAGCTTAGCTAACTTCAAAAAATATAATCCATCATATCACAAACTGTCTCAAGCCTTAACTAAAAGTTCAGTGTACAATTCCAACACAATCCGCCAAACTACCGACTTATCAGCCTCACCTCACTTTACAAACTCCAACCCCGGATCCATATCCATTTGAACTCCTTTTGTCTCCTCCCAAACACCCAAGCCGGCTTCTGCCCCGGGAATAACCTGTAAAATCAGCTTCTGAGTGTCGTTACATTCCTCCAAACCAACGAATCACTTCACTGCCCAACCATCCTTGCCCTCATGGATGTCCAGATGGCCTTTGACATTGTCTGGCACGATGGACTCTGGAATGGAAAGCTCCTAGACCTCCAGTTCCCTTTATCAGTCATCAGATTTATCTCCCGCTTCCATAACGTCCGCTCTGCCCAAGTCCGCCTTTGTGGCTGGCACTCTTTCCATCCCATTCACCCTCCATAGGATCCTCAATGAGCCTTCATCCTGTACCTCCAGGACCTTCTGTCCCAAGTCCCAAACGCCCCACTGACACATCCTGTAGTTTTGTTCAGTTCGATGACGACACTGCCTTTTGGACCTCTCACTGACACCATGACACCCTCATCCGACTTACCACAACCACCCTCCAAAACTACCTCTCCTGTTTATTGAAATTTATAAGAGTGTATGTACGATTATATTAAAATACAACGGTTATACCTAACAATACAGACTATTTTTAATTTATCACTGTCACCGTTTGGTAGGCCCCAGGCATTTTTTCATAATTTTTTTTCAAATGCATACATCGTTATCGTCCATGGATTCTAATTAAAGTTCAATTTAATATTTGTTTTGATGTTATGGTGGATTATATTTTTGATGAAGTCAAAACTTTGTACGGTAATATGATGGAATTTTTTTTTTTTTTATTGGATAGAGATAAGAACTTACTTAAAATATCATAATGATAAACATATTGCAATAGAAAATTTGATCATCCTTTTTCATAAAAAGATTTAAATAGAGGGATTCTGTTTCATAATATTTCATGGCATTCTGTACTTTTACAAAACAATTAAATAATATTCTAACATATCAATGTTTTTCTATTGTTATAGGAAGACAAATAGTTGTATTGTGATTTGAATTTGGTTGTTTTGTTGTTTTTGTAATTTGTCTGTTTCCTTAAATCTCAAGTACCAACGTGCTTTTGATAAAGAACTATCCAATTCTGTACAATAAGTTACTTAAGGTTTATACATACAGAATGGAAAAAAAGTCCCGGGACAGTGAATTATTTCAAAAAGTGATAAAGATATAGCTTCAAAACTTGGTACACAGATCCTGATTATTAAAATCATTTTAATATGTTATTCAGTGATGCGCTACCTCCTCAGGGGGACGGCCCACAAGGAGTCATAAGAAAATCTTATATTTAAGCATAGGTTAATATGCACATCAATTTAAATGCCTTCACTAGTACAATACAATGCCACAAAGTTTACACTCAAACAGTCAACCGAGTCAAAAAATGGCAGCCGTTAAAAGATTTCTTAAATCTGGCAATTTGAATCTTTGGGCGGCTGCCATTTTTTACTCAGTAGTTCTTTTGGGCTCAAATTTGTGACATTGTATTCTACTAATAAAGACCTTTAATTTGATGTGCATATCGACCTATGCCTACATTTATGATTTTCTTCCAACTTCTAGCAAGGCCCCCCTGAGAACATCTTTGAATAGCTGTCATTTTTTATTTGGTTGTCTGATTGAGTTCGGGTTTGCGGCATTGTAATTTACTATCAAAGACCTTTAATTTTATGTGCATATCAACCTATGCTTTTATTTAAGATTTTCTTCTGACTCCTAGCTCAACAACCTAGCTCAGTTATTGCTGAAGAGGTAGTGCATCACCAAATAATGTGTTAAAATTGTTTTAATGCCCAGGAACTGTACCAAGTTTTGAAGTTCTATCTTTATTGCTTTTTGAAATATTTAACCATCCCAGGCCTTTTTTCCACCGTGTATACTATACTAAAGAGATTAATCAAATTATATACGTATTATTTATAAGGATATTTAATTTGAGTCTTGTCTCTATCTAACTGGAATTAATTGCATTTATCATAGTTGGTCACCATTTAATTTCTTATCTGATAACAATCTTTTTCTTGCGATATTGTAAATCTTAATTAATATGTATTGTTATCAATGTCATCACTGCTTAGATTTTTTTTATACTGATTATTTTTTTGTTGGAATTATTTTAAGTCTTCCCGCAGTCTTCTTCGGATGTCTTCCACAGTAAGATTACTAGTGGTTGTCATACGTGTTTGTATAAGTTTGAAATATGTGTCCATCCCTTTCCTGGGTAGGCAGTTATATTGTAAAACAAACTTCTACTCCCAAGGAAAACATTCTGTATGTTGTATTTAAAATACCATACCGTGCACAGGTACACTACGTACACAGTTTGTCCTGTACTGATCCATAGCCGCCAATGAAAAGGACTAAAGCATGTGATTAGAGTACACAAGAAGAGTACTTTAAATCATTGTTTTATTTGAATTTAAATGTAATTATATGTCTCAATTTTGTTTGTGTTCTTAGTAAGATAATAATGTCCTACTCAGGAAGGGTTAGGATGTGTACATTCAACCCCCCCCCCCTGTCCCATGTTTTAATAGTTTTAAACTAATATATATTTTTTAATGTCTTGCATGTTCGTTTACAGAGAGAATTTATTATTTACATTATGTGTTTTGTCTGATTTTTAAAGCAAAGATTTTATTTTTATTTGTATTTGTGTTATGGCATCACAGATTTTAACATCACTTTGTTCTATCGCTTTAAGCCGTTTTCACAATTTTCATTACATAAGTCATATCTTAGTATAGAGCATAGTAAGTGCTTTGGGCCTATCGTGTCAATATAGCTTACTAAGAGTATTGTTTATAAAACTTTGGCAGAGTACATCGATATCCAAATAAACAACGATATGTAAATTGTGTCAGCCAAACTAAGTAGTCAGATGGCAAAATCAAAATAAGCTCAAAATAACTTTAAGTTTTTGTAAAATATTTTTTTTAATCTTTTAAACAGCAATAGAGTTGGAATATTTCTCTATAATTTTTTTAAAAACTCAGTTTAACTTGTGACAATATTCCCTTTAATTTTAATCAGATGGAAATCTGTTGATATTTGTATTCAATCTCAACTTGATTTTTTCTGGACCATAACTTAATGTTTATTTATTATCAGATGAGCTAATATACTTTTTGTTAAGATTTGAACAAAAACTGTTGATCAATGATTTTTTGCATGTAGAGGACCTTTTAACCATGTTTCAATTGTAAGATTAGTGGCTACAGCCAGTTACCTAGAATCACATATAACTTTTGTATATTATTAGGACAACTAGTTTTAAATAAATATTCCAGTATTATTTAGTAAAAAAATTTAATTTAAAATTGCGATTTAAATAATATTGTTATTATTTTGAGAAATAAATAGGGAGCTTGGAATGTCCGCCAGCAGTCTGTACTAAAGTCCTCGCTACCTAAGATGGCCTTACGATGACTGTTCTGTTATACCTGTGATCACAGTAAGATGTTAGCATCCCACTACTGTAATGTATTGTAAATACTGCGTTGTATGTTTATAGTATTATAATTTTATAGTGTATAATTGATTGTAAATATATATAAATAATATATACATATATAAATATATACTAATTAGAATATTTTATTATCACAGATATGTAACAAGACTTAATAGTCGATTATTTATTTATATACTTAGTACGCTTTAATTAATTGTCGAGGGATGATTTATATACAGTCAGTATTTAAGTGTCAGTTCTGTAGGGAGAGAGGAATTTAATAAATATTTTGCCCTTTCCTATAAATTTGCATGTCATATTTGGTAATTAAAATGATAAAATATACTAGCTTTAATAAGGATAATTATACATTTTTATAGAAGTAGTATTTGGAGACTGATGATGACTGGTTTCTCTCCCTATCTGGCTAACGTTTGGATTCTGACATTCAGTAGGTTCATATATATTTATTTTTATGATCACTTCAGCTGGTTAGTTTTCAGATTAAGCTTTATTTCACTGGAACCCATAGTTTTAAATCAGTTTTAGTTACATTCTTGTCGATGTTCACATAATATTTGAGTTGTCGCTCAGATGATATATTTTTATAGGTATTTGTGCGCGCTAGTGTTGGTTTCGTTGTGAGGACTGACGCAACGCAACGCAACCACTGTTGATTGTTGTTGCTAATTGTATTTATTTATTATTAGGATGTTGAGTTTTGTTATATCTCACATAGATACTGATATGATTGCTGAAAATACAAATAATTTGTGTACGTGTTTTGTTTATTCTGTCAATGAATATTGTTAAAATATTTTATACGATTTTGTATTTTTTAATTCCCCTAGTCTTTTCCTAACCAGTGCGGAAGAAGGAAAGAAGTGCATGTTAGATTTGTATACTGTTTGCAGATTATCCTATCCTCTTCTAAGACTATTCCCATCAAACAAACAATCAATTGAGCTAGATGAAGTGGGTAGGTTTGTTCATACCTAATTCCAGCAGCCTTCTAAATAGTCTGCAAATAAAAAAAAGATTTAGTCTTGAGCTATATCTTTATAAAAGGATCTGAAGACTATTTTAATATATATTTTTTCTGGTTTCTAGATTGTGTTGATTTGTCCTCAATAAATATGTTATTTTAATAGCTTTAAAACTGTTACACCCAATCGGAACGATGTATTTGAAAATTACCGACCATTTAATAACCAAGTTATTAAAACCAAAAGCAATACGGCACAACCTGTAAAATTCACTTTAAAAAAGAAAAACATTTAGACAATATAAACACGCTCAAGCTTTAGCAGATATAAAACATGCACCATATAGGCCTCCAGGCTTTTCAATAGGATGTGAAGCTAACTCTACACTTCATGTAATATCTTAAAGGCGTTTAACTGAATGTGTACGAAGCTAGTCCTGTGGTTTGGAAGCCCAAAGGACTGATACTTTCGAGAGACTGCCTTCCAGAATTCTTAGCATAAGCGGATACATCCGTCACCCGTCCTTTATCGCCAAAGACTTAAACAAGGGTTAATACATTCATATCTATTTCTATTTCTACTTACATAAAATATTTGTGTTTCATTTGTAAAGTCAAAGATATTTGATCAGCTTTCACTTATTTTGTTAATAACCCTGAATTCCATTAATATACTTTACAAAATCAAATCAAATCACATATTACAAATTACATTTAGTCATAGTTATAACATAGAATATCAAAACTCATAAAAAATCCTGCTTTCTATGACAATAATATGAATATTATGAGTATGGTAATTTTATTAAAATTTACTTTTAAACTAAATCTTTCCCTGAATGTGTTACAGTAGAACTTCGATAGTTCGACACTTTGTGGACTTAAGGGATGTCAAACTATAGGGAGTAAATGGAGTTTAATATACAGGAAATAAAAACACAAGTCTTAGGCTGCGTTTACATTGGAGGCATGCTTGGGCAAGTAAAATGGTGGCGCACGCTTGGGGTTTTGGACCAAATATAACCAGATATGATAGTATATAGAATCCCCCATATATGGAAATTTTTAAATAAAAAATATATAAATAAATAAAAAAATAACAATTAAACATATTTTCACGTTAAATGGTATAAACTATGCATTAAAACTATAATAAAAATGTTAAATTCAAAACAAAATTTTCAATCATCCGACTGGGATTCGAACCAGGTACTCCGACGTGAGAGTCCGCCCCTTAAGTCACTACACCACAACCGCTTCATATCGATATTCCGATTGCTTAACAAAACCCATTATGAATAAGAGAAGCTGTATTTGGTCTCGTAAAACAAGATTATTCTTAGACATTTTATGCCATTTGAAGAATGTTATTATTAATATAGCCTAACTACGTGACATTGATATTTGCGGCTGTTTGATAGCAAAGGTGCAATTAATTAATTATTAATATAATATTCTCCTTATTTAGGCCTACTACACTTACAATTTTAAAATTATACGTCAGTTTTAAGATTTTGTTGCGTTATAATAAAATTGTACAATAGATGTTTGTATAGGATTTTGTCATCTGGGTTCAAATCTGGATACTTTATTGCTTTACTACTAATTACTTTAAAGGAGAAATGCCTATATTATCTGCCCCCCTACTGAACCGCACATTTAAACTCAATCAGTTCAGCAGTTTGTGCTTGCGAGAGCAACAAGAAAATACACAAACTCACAAACTTTAAGATTTTTAGTATTATAAGAAGTTTTTGGAGTCCAGTTACATAATCCAAATGTGGAAACAATTCCTTATAATAATTCCAGTTATTGTCAAAAACTCATACATGATCATAAATGGAAAATTATTATTCCATATATGAGTAATTTAATTCCATACCTGGGAGTCATATATGGCCATATATAGACCATAATTCCATATATGGAGGATGTTTATGGCCATATATGGGCAATAATTTCATATATAGAAAACATGTATGGCCATATTTGGACAATAATTTCATATATAGAAAACATGAATGGCCAATAATTCCATATATAGACTACATATATGACCATACAGGGTGATTGATATAAGTGTGCCAGCCGTTTTATTCGAAAACTATAGGAGATATAAAAAAAAGTTAAATGGTAAGTGCCTTGTATTTTTTATTTAAAAAATTATAGTCAAGTCCAAAAAATTATTTTAGCCGCCATTTTTCTAATATGGCCGCCAACTTTGATTTTTCTTACGGAACACCCTGTATTTTATGATGTATTCTGGTAGAAAAAGTAATTTTAAGACGATTTTATTCTTGTCATTTTTTTCATAAACCTAACCGTTTCAAAGATAATAATGGTTTAATTTGTTAAATTTTGAATGGTTTTCGAACAAAACAGCTGGCATGCTTGCTTAGGCCTTTATCGAAACTCTTTCTCATGCAGAAATTTCAAAACTTTAACCATAATTATCTTTGAAACGGTTAGGTTTATGAAAAAAATCACAAGAATAAAATCGTCTTAAAATTACTTTTTCTACCAGAATACATCATAAAATATAGGGTGTTCCGTAAGAAAAATCAAAGTTGGAGGCCATATTGGAAAAATGGCGGCTAAAATAATTTTTTTGACTTGACAACAATTTTTTAAATAAAAAATCCAAGGCACTTACCATTTAACTTTTTTTGATATCTCTTATAGTTTTCGAATAAAACGGCTGGCACACTTATATCAATCACCCTGTATATGGACACCACCATATATGGATACAACCACATCTGGCCATATATGCTTCCATATATGGTCATCAAAAACCATATATGGACAATAATTTCATATATAGAAAACATGAATGGCCATATATGGCCAATAATTCCATATATAGACTACATATATGACCATATATGGTATATGGACACCCACCATATATGGATACAACCACATCTGGCCATATATGCTTCCATATATGGTCATCAAAAACCATATATGGCTTTATAAAAACATATATGGAATTTCGATATGGCCAGAAATTATTTTTCTTTTTTTATAGGGGCCGGACCCCCCTTGTTTGCTGGGGGGTATTCCATACCCTCGGTGTTTGCCCCCCCCCCAAGAATTTGGTGAAATGACGCCACTGCTAATTACCCAATCACAAGCATTATGGTGTACCGTTGTGGCATTGAGACCCGTAGACCTCCTTAGCCGAAAACCTATCGACACTTCGAACTTCGCGTTGACCGAGAAACTTCAGGAGCTTTTAAATTATACAGCATTTGGAAAAAATGAGATTCATTGGTTCATCGACTTACTAAACTATACAGTTATGGTTGAGAACAAAAGAATTTAGAAATTTAAGTTAGAACAAAGGATATAAAATTTAGATTAAAGGGTCTGTTTAATTGAGATTTCAACGCAGACTGCCTTAAATTTGGAGAATACTATTTTGTTGTTGAAAACATTCAAATTCTTCAACGGTTTTACTGTGTTTACATCAGAAATTATTTTTACCTACGACCGTTTTTTAAAGTAGCCATTTCAGTCCAGTTCTTAGAATTGAAAAGTTTTACTTTACAGCTGTTTACTTTCATATCCGCATAGTTTCATTTCATATCCGCATAGTTTTCTCATATCCACACAGGTAACGGACCAATGAGGTTCAAGTATTGAGAAAAGAATTAAAATGGTAATGCTTCGAACGTCAACTAATCAGCTGATCAGCTGATCAGTTGACCAATTTAATTGTTGATCCGACTTGTTCATGTTGATACTCGCGTATTCTTAATTAAGTTGGTGGAAGTCCAAAAATAAATGAAATATTTGCCGAATTGTACCTGATACAATATTATTTATGGTAAGAATACTGCTAGCGATGTAATATTTAATGAAGTTTAACAAACACGTAATTACAGGAAATCAGCTGATTATACAACAAGTCGTTGCATCACTTTCAGTGGCAATGACAATACACGAAAACATAACCTCTCTAAAAAGTTATCAGTAGTGATTGTTAGTAATTAAATCCAGATTGATAGTAATTAAAAAACGGTCGTAGGTAAAGTAGTGTACGCAACTCGCGTTAATAGTCTTTACGACACTCGTAGAAGTTTTTAAGGCGCTCGCCAAGGCTCGTGCCTTAAATTTTCTACTCGTGTCGTAAAGACTCACTTAACGCAATCGTTGCGTAAACTACTATTACGCATAAAGTTTCAAACACGTGTTTTTGGGTTTTTAAAGCCATATTTACACTGGAGTTTGCAACAAAATGTAAGCTGTCAACAAAAGGTTTTGAAATGTATATTGTAAACACGGCTTTCGTCAATCATATGTAATGTATACAGCTGTTTCATTAGTTTGGACCATTTTATTAATGATGTCCAATGATCAAGGGCAGCTGGGTCCAGTATAAAACCATAAAAATGCTCTACAATTTTCTCAGAATAAAATGGTGACCTAATAATTACTAGACTATAACCATTGAGTTAACTAGTATCGCACACGGATAATAAAGATGATTAGGGAATTTCAGATTTTCAGGCATAAGTTTTCTTAGAAAATGTAGGACTCAAGTTGTTGTTAATCAGTCAATTTAGTCAACTAGATCAAACACTGTGTTATACTTTTTAAAAATAAATGACTTATTGACTTAACATTGATGAAATAGTCCCTTAGTAGATTTCCCATTCTTATGGAACAGCTAAAGCCAATTTTATTGTAAGTTCTGTCTTCTGTCCGGTTTTCTGTAGCTGTCGTGTTTTGTTTACAATTTGTTTCTTGTATTTTCAGTAATTTAAAACCTCGTTTAAACCAAATAAAACTATCTAATCATAAACAATAACTCGTCCACTAGCTATATAGC